TGATTAATGGTAAATGAAACGGTTTCGATTTTTTTTCTTTAATTTAAATAAGTTTTATCTGTAACAAACAAAAATAGCATTTTTAGGGTTAAGTCTGAATCTACTGAAAAACATTTCGTTAAATCTTGTTTCAGCAGAGGAAGTGACGCCTGCTCTTGAAGAGATAGAATAGGATAGATAGAATCGGTTAAGGAAATTAAAATTTAGTGACCCCCCCCCCAAAAACGACCCCGAACAACAATCAATTTACATTTATAATGGGTATATCGCTTACTGAATAGTTAATCTATAGTATAGTTGTCGGTGGCCCAAGTGTATCAATAGTTTGACTGTGTCCGCCCAATAGACACAATGATGCCACACATGCAATTGTATGCATTGTTAACCACGCCATCTATCTGAAACAATGCTGGGAAATGACAACCTAACGCAGGAAATGGCGCTACTCAATTCCAAATATCAACTACACATATACGCTTCTGTAGCAACAAACGCAAATAATTATCTGAATTATTTTGCACGGCCATTTTGCCGGTTTCGACCTTTGTTATTGTCAATTCAAAGTAGCACTTGAATATCGACTGGTCGACGCGCTGTTTTCGTTCGACCATGTCGTTTCGAAAAGCGCAAAATTGATACAAAAGGTTAGTTATTAAAGGGTCGTCATTTGTTTGTATAAATCAAATAATTTGTAAGGGTGTATCGCAAAATTTTTTATGAGAAATTCGTTCGTTCGTCTCATATTTCAAGATTCCCAAACCGCAGAAAATTTAGCAAAAAAATTGGATTAATTACTTCATAAGTTTACCATTATGCCATGAAAAGAACGAAGTAACCCATTTAGAAAAAGGTGTGCTGGAAGTATTATTTAAATACGATTTCGTATCAAAGAATTGTTGAAGAAAAATGAATTTTACACGAAGCAGGTTGAAAAAAGTATAGAAATTCTTGACCGAGAGCAGAAGAAAAAAGAATATTGTCAAAAATTAAGTGTAACACAAAAAAAATGTCATTTTTTTATACTATGCTTCTTCGAAATCAACATTATTCCACACCTTGTTCAGTGCACTGGAAGAACTAATTAAAACCATTTGAATTTCGAATTATTTTGAATATCTCAATTTATTGTTAAAATTTTTGAAAGCTGGGATTTAAAATCGAGCAAGTTAAACTTTAAACATAATAGTTAGCGTTACACCACGAAAGGGTTTTTTAAAATCTTACTGTTAAAAGCTGCTCTAAAAACTGCTCTTAAAACCGTAGTTCTAAAAATTTCTCAAAAGGTTCCTTTAGAAAGCCTAGCTCTAAAAGCTCTTTTGATATTCAGGATTACCAATAGGTTCCTAAAAATTATAAATACCTTTGCTACAGCTGTTATGATTAAGAATTAAAAATAACATCTTTAACACATGCTCAAAATTTTATATTAATTATATACGTTGTTATCTCCAGCATTTGAGATGTTATGGCTGCTAAGATTTCCTCCTGATATCTTTGTAGATTTTGCTTTGAATTTTCTCTTTTGCTTTATCGCTCTTTACGCAAATTTTCTACTCATATATGTAATATGTAATAATGAAGAAGAAGTTTTATAACCGTAAATAAACTTCCATCAGTTAATCAACTTAAAACGTTCTTGTAATTTTTCTACTAATTTTAGAACACATATGCCAAGAAATATGTACTTTAAACACCATAAACAAAATCCATCTATCGTTAACTAAATGCCGAATATTTTTATTTCAGACTAGTAGAGAGTCAAATTCTGTAACACGCTCGATCATTGATTGGCTTTGAATTAAAGTGACCGATCAACAAGTTCTGGAGTTTTTACTTATTAAAATCGGTCCAACCACTGCGGTTATTGAAAGCTAGGAACAAACAAGTAGACGATAGTTTTCCATTTTTTCGAAAAATCGCGACGCCAGAGAGAGGAAAACCAAAAACAAACAATACTCCGTTGGAATATAAAATGACTATTATTGTCATCAGTATATCGGAACTGAATAAAGCAAAAGCTTCGAGAATGAGCTTTGTTCTTTAGAGACGCGATAGAAGGAAACGTAAAAGTCATACAACAGCGAGCTTTTCGATAGAAAAGCCCCATTGTAACGTTTTCGCGTTCTCTCTAGAGAATCTCTCGCAAGAAAGAAATGTGGCTGCTATTTTCTGAAAAGAATGTTGACGCATTCATTCCCGTCGTTTTGTTTCACTTTAATAGAAAGTTATCATCGAATAATGCCCCCGTATAGTGCTCTATACAAAAATACTTTTCCATTAACGGATATCCTTTAGAATTCATCTTTCGCATTTTCGAGATTTTTTACGCCTTTGATGCATTGTTTGACTTTTCAGTCTGACGACGGAATTAATTAATTTGACAACTCAGCGATCGGTTTCAACATAAAGGTAGACAGGAAAATTCCAAAAAAAAAAATTGTAGTTGTAAATCCTTTCTTAATTTAATTCCGTGTTTAGTTTTTTTGTTTTGTGTTGTAGGGGAACGTGGTCAAAACATACGAGTTCAATTAGGTAGGAACTTTTATCACACGCTCTTTGTAGCTCCAGTCTGTCTTTGTCCTTTCTTCATCTTGATTTTCGGAAAGATGTGGTTTTTTAGAAAATAATTTTATTCAGCGAATAAAAAAAAAGGAGATCGATTATAATAAAGATAATCAGCAGAAATTGTATTCTTTATACTTCCTTATATATGTATTGCTTTTTGCAACCTCTCTGTACACCGCGTGCCAAATAAAACGATCCACTATACGATCTGGAAACCCATAAGAGATACGAAAAAAAGTTTCGTACAAAAGTTTCCCCTCACATCATCTTTATTATGTTTAAATGAAACACCCTGCATATTTCGTCATTTTTTGAATCCTTGGTTAAAATAAACGACACTTTCTTAAAAAAATTCTATTCGAATTTTGCATAGCTTAGGCAGAAATGGAGGTTACGTTTTTTTTTTTCATGTTTTGACTGAGTAGATGATGCACTACTCAATTAGTTGGAGATGCGCCTCAGTTTATACGGGGTGTCCCAAATAGGTGGTGCCGTTTTGGCGAATTAAATTAACAAAATCAACATTTTAAAATTCAACACCCTATATTTTTATTCAGATATCAATTCTAGGACAAAAAATAAGGTAAGTTTATAATTTATCTTATATTTTAATTTTACTTACTTTTTGAGAGAGTCGAGGTTTAAGATAACACCATTATAATTCTTGTTGAATTTAAAGATGCCCACATTAGGCAATATCACCTATTTTTTAGATAGCACACATTCTACTTCTTTTAAAGATATAATACTCCAGATATACAAATAAAACGTATTGCTAACAATACCATTAATACGTGGAAATTTTGAAAAAAAAATACACTTTAACAGATTTAATAAAACTTCAGAACTCATATTTAAAAAACCATTTAACAGTTAATTATCTAGCAAAAATAAATAACTCAAGTTTATAGGTTAACCAAAAAACTAAAATACAAAAAAAATATATACTAACAAAAATCTTGACAACTATGAACTTTTTAAATAGAAAGATGAAAAACAACAAAAACAATCAGAAATGTCAAAGTTTGTTTATACCTTAATGCTTCAAAAAAAAAAAAAGATTGTGATGTCATAGCCAACTACATTTTTAAATATTTTGATATTTATTGGTTGTTTTGATGCCAGATGAGCACTTTAAGAGGTACAGTTTTAACTAAACTTTACGGACCGAATTAACAAACCCTTTTTAGTTAACTTCATTTTAAAGATTTATTTATTCAAATTTGTTGCCTTGGTTAGTTGAACTATAAAATTTAATTTTTTATTTTTGTTATTAGGTATTTTCAATCAAGCTAGACAACTAACTATTAAATGTTTCTTTAAATATGAATTCTTAACTTTTATTAAATCTGTATTGTTGGCAATAGGTTTTATTCGTATATCTGGAGTATTATATCTTTAAAAGAGGTAGTCTTAGCTAACGCTACTAGCTCCTAATAGCTTTAAATTAAACAAGAATATTTACGAAAATCTCCAAAAGTTTACAAATTACAAATTTACCTTATTTTTATCCTAGAAGAAGGAAATCTGAATAAAAATAGAGGGTGTTCCATTTGAAAGTCTTGAGATTTCGTTAATTGAATTCGCCAAAACCGAAATACCTATCTGGGGCACCCTGTATAAGCTGAGGCACATCTGTCAAACTGATTAAGTAGGGCATCATCTCCCTGGTCTGTGGTTAAATTTTCGTTGCTGTACCTGCATCGGGAGCCTAATAACACAATTTTATATGAGGCAATCAAAATATGAAATATAACACATAACCCCAATTTCCGCCTAAACAAAACAAAATTCGAACATGAATTTCTTAAGAAAATGACCTTTATTTTAACCTATGGATTAAAAAATTGTCGATTTAAAATAACAAAGTTGATATCTGGGGGGACACTTTTGGGACACTCTGTATCAAAAAATTATAATATTCTAATTCTTCAGGAGGGTCCAAGAAACTTTTGTATGAAACAATTTTTTCGTATCCCCTACGGGTCTACACAGTCTACATTTTAGTGGGTTTTACTTTTTCTAAGAACATCAAAATATTGTTTGTTAGGTATACTGAAAATTAAAATTCCTTTTTAGGTTCTGTTTTGATTTGTTATTTTATTTGTCCTACCTAAAAAGATTGGCAGGTGTAAGAGTGTACTTCAATAAATCTGTGCCAATGCTACGCTGCAGACTCGTTACCCAAGAAATGATAAAGGTTCATAATAACGTAGGTTCGGAAATTCAGTTTGCAAGAGGTGTGCTAAATATATAAAAGAAAAACGGCTTCTATAATGAAGCTGGTGCTAGTCATTTTCAACAATTTCTTTAGTATTTGTTTTCTAGAAATATGTGGATTCAGTATAAAAAGTTTTGTCAATTTTCATGTTTTTTATTTTTTCGCTAGAAAACGAGGCAAAATAGGAAAACAACTTAGAAAATGTGTACTTTTATTAGCTTTACTATTATCTATCCTTTGAATGATGTTGCTAAATTTCAACAAAATCAGGAAAAAATATTTATAATACTGTGCCTTTTTGTAAATATGTAGCATTCAGTATTTTGGAAATTAAGATTTTTTGGACTGACGTCTATAGGAACTTTTTTATTTTTAATATAACAAATGTTCAAATGTTGGTGCATGTTTTTGAAATACGCTGCACTTTACATACACTGTCCCTACCCGAGTTTTGCTTTAATCTGACTTAAATTGAGTTAACGATTCAGCAGCAAAATAAAGAAACGGTTCACCAGTAGTAGTTAATTAATAAGATCTGTTAAAAATTTAGGACGTTTCAAAACATTAATTTTAATTGCTTAAACAGATTAGTCATTAGTTTTCCGGTTTACTGATCGTCGAACTAATAAAAGTTAAATCTGTGGAAAATACACGGGTAATGTATTATTCGAAGCCAAATCGTGATAAGCATAGAGGGAGGCAGCCCTTAATAACGCCCTGTGGTGTAAACTGCCTGGTAACGAGTGGCATGGTGGCAGAGGGGGCAAAGGTTGACAGTAATCTGGATGGGCGATGCCATTGTCTTCGTGGTAGGGGTGCGACAGTCGTTCGTCGAATTCCTGAAAGTAAATTTTTAGAAGCAACGCTTCGCACGAATTTTTCAATCGATTTAATTTGCGATCTACGTCACCTTCATTTTTTTATTCTTTTTCACGTTTCACGAAATCTTAAGTAACAGTTTCTACGGGAATAATGGTTTAGTATAGAGAAAAGTGGTCTAAAATAGAGTTCTTTTTCAAATTTAAAATATTTGAATAATTACTTAACTGCCACTTTTTGCGTCAACGCTCGGTAAACAGACTTATCAAAATTTAATATTAAGATAAATGATAAGATGAAATCTTTTGTAAATTTATGTTGTCTCCTTCTGCTTTCATTAATACGTTTTTTTAACAGTATAAATTAAACTAATTTAGTCACCTCAGATTTTTGATAATTACACGCCATACCAGGAAACGTAGGTATTACTTACTTGGAAAGGAAGGAAAAGAAGTTTTCACTGGATGATAGCGGGGATTATTTAGAGCCTATATCACACTTTATGTCGCAGTGTTTTCGACATAAAACTGTTTTTTTCTACTCCCATCTGTAAAATGCCTAATTACACACCGATCTAGCATGCGGGAAGCGTTACTTTAGCACTTCAGTTTCGTTTCCCACGGATCCGAGCCACTTCGGACTTTTCCGGGATTTTACCGCACGGGTTTGGGAGCACGCCTTGAAGTGTGACGTTTGTCAATTCTGACGGTCATGTCAGTGAATGTATTAGTGCAGTTTTGCGAAAATGTACCCAAAAACTAACGGTCGTAGAAAAAGTATAGTATGAAATACGTTCGGTAAACTCTTTAACTTGTGAGTCAAATGGCGTTTATCGCACTTGTTGCGTAATATACTGTTTACTCCCTACTCTAAAATACTCAATTATACACAGAGTGCAAAAATATCACTTTAAGAGATGGGTTTCGCCAGCCACATAAAAATACGTTGATATACTTCTTCAGCCACTCGATTATCAAATCCGCTCCATCAAATCAAACTCATGACTATAATGGCGTTTATTAAATATTTAGTGAATATTTGACGATTTTTTATGAAGTATTCTTTTATATTCAAAATATAAATTTTACCGAAATAATACAAAACGAAACCAAATAAAAGTATTATGAATTTATAAATAACAAATTTGTATTGAATAAAACCAAAACCGGTTCTTGGAATTGAAATTATTTTAAAATGTTTAATATTTGCTATTCTTCATAACGGTATCATAAAATCTTTATTCATGAATTAACAACAACAAATTAATTGTTGACATTTGATTTTCTTTAATTATCACTAAAATAAGTGTAAACTAAATCGCAAATCTCCAAATATATGGTCAAGAAAATCCAAAATAATACATATCAACCAGCTTATTTTACATTACTCAGAGAATGTATTCCTTTTTTGAAAAAATGTACCTTGACACTAATGCCCGAAGGAAAACTATCATGTGCAACACTTTGAAAGACTTGCGAAAACAAACTTGTGACTAAAAAGTTGTTCATTGATGTGTAATATAATATTATTTGGCTTCGCACTTGTGGTTTTTTTATATAAAATACATAATTGTGGGGTTGACATTTAAAAAATCATAAGTGTTATTGATAAGTCCACTATTCAGCAGAAATATAAAAAGAACTTTTATATCCAAGACCGTGAGACGGATAAGGATATATTTGGTGATATAGTTTCAAAATAATCTCCGCCATCATGAAAACGGTTTATCGATGTACCATAGAATGTAGGAAATAAGGTATGTAAATGGACTTACTTGCGAAGAGTGGACTGAATTTAAGGAAGTCATCGAGTCGGCATGCAGAATATGCTGATTATAGCCAACAGGAATCGCGCAGTTCATCAATGTCGACTCCGATTGGACGTTCGGTATGGTGATCACGGGTACAGGTTCTAACAAGTATTGCGATAGTTCAATCAGAAACGAAGACTACGGCGTCTAAAATTAATTTCTTACCACTGTGTCCATAAAACGTCCTGTTGATTGCAATCTGCAACTGATCGCACAGTCCTGCGCTTTTATTTCCGATTTCACCAACATCTTTAACCTGCTTCGAGCGCCTCCTTGGTCTGTATTTATAATCCGGATGATCTACCATGTGCTGATGCCTCAATCTCTTTGCTTCATCAATGAACGGCATTTTTTCAATTTCTGTCAGTAATTTCCATTCGGCGCCAAGAAGTTTGGAAATTTCCGAATTGTGGAGTTTCGGATAATCGTTCGAAATGCGTTTTCTGCGTATACGCGACCAAACCATAAACGCATTCATGGGTCTTTTTATACGAGCTACGTGATGGTCAGTGATGGACATGGTGCCGATCGTGACAAGTTTCAGCACATACTGGACGCTCACAAAAGATAACCGATTGTATTCAGAGCTGTGTAAACACGGTATTGTTATTTATCTACAATAAACGCATTGTCGCTTTAGCTGGAGGAAAAACCGATTGTCCGAAATTAAAATAATTACGGGAATAAATGTTCCATTATTTGGCGGAATAAAACGTTTTCGCCCTACCCGTGCCATTATATCCTGCGAATTGTCAGTCGTTGTAAAATAAAAGGGAGCATTGTTTTCAACTATACTTATCCATGTAATATGTTTACTGCGTCTACGAGTTTTCAAGCAAACTGAACCTATATCGAGTAATCAATTTTTAATAGCTATATTGATTTCGTTGATACCTAAGGATTTTTGCTAAATACTGGCCGAAAAAAATCTTTCATTTTGATTTTATTCATTTTTTTTTTTCAATACCAAAAATAGAAAACATCCGTGCTTCGTTACTACCTGCGGTTAATGACCGTAGCTTATACTGTGATAACACCCATGATAACAGTTATTCAAACCAATTGTCAAACGATTAAAACAAAATAACGGTTCAGGGATCACAGAGACACTTCTTGTGGCACATAATGTCGTTTAAAAAACCAAATAAAGTATTACAAAAAATGCATATTTTTTTTTCTATTTGTCTTTACATGTCCGTCCCCTACCAGTTTGTTTTCTTGTTAAACTTCAAGGAAAAACAACTCAAACTCTAATAAATAAAATAAGGTGGGCTAAACAGTATGGCAACACAGATTGAGACAGACTCTCTCCATAGCTTTAGAGCTGAATCTATTGATAATACTCCTCATCTTCGATAGTGGCACCTTGGTATAGCTTATGTCCTCTAGCTTGGGAGAAAGCAGATGAAAACGCACTGCCTTAATACTTGCGAGGCCGTTTCCTCCTCTTAATGGGAGAATCTGGATTCAGTTTTCTCCCTACTATTACCATTACCATACGGGGTTCTCTTTCGATCCATTTGACAGGTAATTCTGCGATGGGTTTATCTACCCCAAAAGTGTTCTGCTCGACGTTTTCGTTTCCTAAATCGTCTTCGTCAGAGTCCTTTATTCTGATTCGCTATCTCATTTAATGCCATATAACAATCTAAAACTAATTTGGATGTTATTTTTGCTGCATAGCATTGTTTTTTTGCGTTTGGCTGGCGTTGTAGATCGCAATTGTTTTATTACGATTCTTTTTCCTCTTTACTTCGCTTTCCGACATGACCTTTGGGTGAACCGAGTAGCCTAGGGATTATGCTCCCGGTCCCAAGCCCGGATAAAAGAGGAGAGTTGCAGCCGTAGGCAAGCTCCCTACCCTGTGGTAGCCCTGACAGAGACTAAAAGGAAATGTAGTGAAATGGAACAAATTGGCAAATATATTCTTTTATATAGCGGGGTACCTAAGGAAGAAAGAGCCAAACGAGGAGTATCAATAACTATTAAAGCATAATTTCAAAATAAAATAACGGACTGGGACATAATAAATGAAAATATGCTAACAGTAAATGTTAAATTTCACCATCATGATATTACGGTGTTAGCAGTGTATGCCATATCAGATGTTGAACCAGCAGCCAAAAAAGACACATTTTTTGAAATCCTTAATGAAGTGATCGAAAAAATTATAATAATAATAGAATTGTAGGCCCATTTGGAGAACGACAAATTAATGATGATGGTTGAAGACTTACAGAAGTGTCGGAAGCTAATGAATTAAAAATTACCAAGTGTTTGTAGAAGCAATCATAAAGATATTCACCATTACACCAGGGTACAACCAACTCGGAATTGAAATTCTATTATTGACTATTCCATTATCAGACAGAAAACTGGCTTCCTGATGTCAGAGTCTTAAGAGGAGCTTTTTGTGATTGTTCTGATCACTTTCTAGTTAGGGCTCTAGTGTTCTTCCCTTCAAAATATCAGAAACAAACAACCATTCAGCAAAAAACTAATACAAACTTGGAAGAAGTATCACATGAAAAATATAATCTTAGTAGCTTACTAAACGAAAAGTAAGAACCAAAAAGATTCGACGGAAAGTTGTATAAGAATTACTAAGTCTAAGTTTATTACCACATAATAGATAGAACCAGGAAATAGAATAATTAGTAAATGAGAAAAAGGCGTCCGATTTGAAGTGGTTGAGTACAAAAAAAGAGGAAGATTTAGCACATTAGAGGGAAGCAAAGAGAAATGCGAGGAAATTGATACAAAAGGAGAAGGATGAACTAACATAAGAAAAATAAGCATATACAACTCCTCGAAACCAAATGAATTGATTACTACAAAGGATTACTGGCACAAAATAGACAGGAATTCCTAAATGATGATGAAGTTGAAATAAATATTGAAATGGTCAAATAACCTGCTCAAAAATACTGTGCTAACTTATATTTGAAACTTGTGCATTAACGGAAATCCAGTTCCAGAAGCATGGAAAACAGCTTATATCACCCCAATTTTCCAAAAACGCAATAAGAAGCATTGTGAGAACTACAGCGCCCTGTCAGTGACGATGAGTCGGTTATATGGAAGACTATTACCGGACTTCATACAGTCAGAAATTAATGAACAAAAAGAAGAAGAACAAAGTGGGTTCCGTTCTGGAAGGTCTTATAACTACAACTTATTCTGCCTCAAGCAAATCAATGAGAAGAAAGTGGCCACAAACAGAGATACACACACAACATTTGTTAATTTTCAAAAAGCTTACGATACAATAGCAACAACAAGATTTTGGAAAATTCTAAAGGACACAAAAATCAGAGAAGAAAATGGCCACCAACAAAAACCGCAATATTTGTTGATCTTTTAAAAGCTTACGATACAATACCAACAACAAGATTTTGGAAAATTCTAAAGGACACAAAAATCAATCACACACTTATTCCTGCACTGAAGTTAGGGAAATATATCACTAAGGAATTCTACGTAAATAAAGGACGCAGACAGAGATGCTGTATATCTCCAACACTGTTTAATATCTATGTGGCTGCAATCCTAAAGCAATGGAAAAGGAAAATACACGGAATGGGGATAGAACTTCATGAATTTTGTTTATACACCTTGCAATTTACAGACGATCAAGCAGTAATATCAAATGATAAAGAAGATATGGACTACATGATGCGAAAACTGATCGAAGAATATGGGAAATGGGGAAATGATTTAACATAGAAAAAACTAAATATCTATGCGTTGGTGGAGAACCTGGTGATCTACAATTAAACGACACGTTGCACATTAAACATGGCCAAGAGTACAAATATCTGGCATTTTGATACAACAGGAACAGAGAACAAGGGAATAGAAAAAAGGATCATTACAGCCAACAAAGCAATAGCATGTCTTAAAAATATAACAAAAACAAAAGAAAATATAATATATATGAAACATTAGTAAAATATGGTGCTGAAAGTTGGAGATTTACAGAACAGGATTCGAAAACGACAGAGTCAAAGAAATTATGGGCATCGAAGAAACCCTCGCACATGATATTGAAATGACAACTTAAGGAACACCGAAAAAGAGGAAGAGCAAAAATCTATTGAAAACAGGGCGCAACAAAAGCGATGAGCGCAAAACACCCGCAAGATGTCGGTTTTGAATATCGAAACAGGTGGAGGCACGGCGTCGGACAACGTCGAAAGACGTTCTACACCGATTACATACACACACTTCTCTTTCACATTCATACAATCACTCGAAACATTCTTACTAGCTTCCCTATTGAAATATTAAAAAAATTGAAAAAGGTTAAAATACATCAAATATATGAAAGTATAGTACTATCAACTACTGCCACCTATTTGAGCATATCAAAATTTGAATCATAAAAGCCTTTTTTAAGCATTCGGTACTGAATTTAGTCACCAAATTCAACTTACATCTCGCAGTCCCAAACAAATTTGATTTTGATAGCTATTTAGCTCTTATGGCTACCTGTTGTGACACCCTTCTTAACCGGTTTTGTTCAGTGATTAGCTGCAATAGAGCCGAAAAAAAAGGACGGATTTGCATGGGTTTGCTGCTTCAGTGCCATAGGTGTGTTTTACAGAGCGTCATCGAATTGCTGAAGATTGTTACGCCTTAAAGTGGCACTTTGGGCCCTATTAATCAGTGCATAGAAAATAGCTGAAACCTCTTTTCTTATAAAATTTTAAATAACTAAGATATTTTTTTTAAATGTTCCACATCGATCCGAATAGAAAAGATCTCACAACGTTGTTTAAAGTTTTGATTTAATTTTTAATTAAATATAAACTTTAAGTAAATATTTTATGATGCATTTCTAAATCTGAAAAATAAAATCTGAAATACGTAAAGCAAATTATCGATGCCCATTGATTTTAAAATTTAGAAAACAATATCTGACGGAGTATGATTTTTGCAATATTTTTGAAAGTCAAATTTGACACATGCTATATGTCATTCATTCCTTCATTTCTGAAGCGCTTGCAACCTGAATTTGGTTGTGGGAAAGTTGAGAACGATCATCAGCTTTTAAATCTGATTGCCAAACTGAATTAGACTCTCATTAAACTCGAAAAATTAGAGACACGAAAACCCAATCGATAAGCGTGAACAATACCTTAATCAGCATTCATTCCAGCGTTATTCTAGGGCTAGGGAAAAAGCTAATAATGGACGATTTCTTCAACAAGCTCACACGGCAGGTGCCTCCGCATTTGGTCTCGCGGAGCGGAGCAAAAAAAAATTAATGAGCGCGTAATACGAAAATTGGCATGACAATATATCCTTAGAAAATCGCGTCAGCCGACCATGAACAATCGCTTAGAAATCGAGGTTAATTAAGAAATCCGCGATAATTAAAGAGTCAACTGCAGACGGGCGCCAATGTTGTGATTGGCTTATCGAGACGGTTTAGCGTTTGAGGACGCGTCACGTGTCTGCTGGGGCGTGATAAGGAATCCCGAGGGTAAGAGAGAAGCGGATCTGCATTTCGTCGGGGTGCATTATA